CAATCAAAGTAGCTCTGGGATACATATATCGAACTGACATTGTAGTGGCGCCCCTCAACAAAATAAGGGATGATCTTTTCTTGCACTTTCTTTGGATCAGCACATACATCTTCGAATATAGCTACTGTACCCCTATCTGGAGAAAATGAATCTATCTTAGGGATTTTATCAGGCTTCAAAGCTTGAAATGAAATATTTTTACGATATGGCTTTGGGCTATTAGCAATTATTTGATAGGCCGATTTGAGATACAAATATTTTGGCTCCTTGAGTTGGTGGCCGATTAATAGCAAATCATTATTCTTAATATATCTGCTTCCGTCTTTCTTTCCATTAAACATCCGATAAAGCTTATTTCCAAGCATGAGATTAAGAACTTCATTAGTTTTTCCTGAATTAGTACGACCTGAAATTAGAAGAGTGAAAGGCCATTGAGGCGTACTAGAATGGCCATTATATTTTTGAGCATCTTTAATCTCGTTAATGTGGTATACGAGTCTATCAACTGGCTCAAGCTTTTTTATTTTCATATCAAATTAAGTATTAATAACGATATACTAAAAATAATTTTTTTTAATCCTTCGCTTTATCCAAGAACCCTTTCTCAATTAGTGTATGTCTAATGAAAGGCAAAAGGTCACATGTGTATGGCACTTTGATAAGGCATATATCTTGGTCCTTGCATATATTCTGCTTCTTTTGATCACGCATATTTTGTGATTTTAGATTTTCATTCTCCCGGTGATAGAAACTATTATGATGATAGTGTTGAGGACCCTGGAATTCGAATGCAAGACGCAATTCCTCATTATATCCATCCAAGTGTAGCCCATCTAAGAACTTAACCCTACATGGTGGGAATTTTTTGCTTAACAAATCCTCAAAAATATATCAGCATTGACGTTCGCTGCTTGAATAGTAGCATAGAGGACACTATTCGAATTTTTTCATTATATATTTTAATGGATACTCCCATTGATGTGCACCACTCTCACAAGACCAGAAATAGATACCATGTCCATGTATCTGGCCAGTTTTTCCAAGACAAATTCTACCACGTTGACTAGCATAATTTTTAGCTTGAATTATCTCATTATTGGTAGAAGAAGCATATATAGTATGTATGGATAATATACTTTGAGAGGGAAGCTCAGGGTCACAAGTCAAATGCATGAGTTCCTCTCGTACAAATCCCCGTTGTGGAGCAAATTCATCATCATTACTCCCGAGATAATATAAAACTGGTTCATTTTTAGATACTACAATTTTTCGAATTTTGTGAATACTTAGACTCCAGTATGAATCAGTGCTTCTACGCACTGCTTCCATACCACCTTCCCATTCAGCATTGGCAAGAAAATAGCGAACAGAATCACCTTTTTTTAATGCTATTTCATCCTTACCAATGAGTCGCTTCGATGATATTGATGGCTTAGATTTGACCTCTCCCAATAAAATAGCTTCTGAAGACACTAATCCCCATTTTGAAGAACCTGGTTCTCTAATAAGGCGTGTGGGATAATTGTTTAGGTAATCAACAACTTTTGGTAAATGTCTAACCCATGCTCTTATTAATCTTGGATCAGAAGATATAGACTCAATAGCATACTGAATCTTATAGAGCATGTCCCCTTCCGTTTTATTGAAACGTTCTACCATTGCAAGACCTCTATGACTATAGGGTCCTATTACTCGAATTGTAACATTGTGCTCCTGCATTAGTCGAGAAGTCTTACCCATAAATTCACAACTACCATCACATTGTAGAAGCTTTGGCCATGTCAATGGGTTATTTTGATCTCTATATATTTTTCTGAATGTTCTAGCAACCTCTGAACTATTCTTAGATGTAAGTGGAACAGAAGCTTTATATCTGGAAGTGCAGTCTATTATATTAAGCACTGCTTTATAGGTTTTACCTCTGTAATGATCATGGGTAAGAAATAATATATCACATTGATGTATACAATTTGGTCGTGTTATTTTTCCATAACTGATTCTAGGAATATACAGTATTTAGGTGGGGGCATATAGATTTGGTACGATTGCTGGCATTTCAAAAAATCTTTGCATTCACTTAGCGAAATTGATGCCCCTCTTTCTTACAAGCATCTCTTAAGGATTTAGGGTTAGAAAAATATCCAGTAGGTCGATAATATATCTCTCGTAGAATAAGATTCCATTCTATACTGGCTTTCCCATTAGTTTATTCGATAATAGTAAAAAAAAAATATGGAGGAATTACAACAAAGTAACCAAGAACTTCATGAGATAGTATCCCAATTGGCAGAATCAAATAGGAATTTTGAAAAACGTCTATATACCTTAGAAAGAATTATTGGTATATGGGAAAAGAGAATATGATTTCTTGAAGAAGAGTTAAATAACACTATTGAGCTTTCTAGACAAGACAAAGAAGAATTATTAGAAGAAATTTCAAAATTAAAAAGGATTGTCCACCAACTCGAGAAAGAAAATAAAAGAAAAGACAAAGAAATTTCTAATAAAGATAGATTAATATCAGAATTTAATGAATGAGAGACAAAATTAAAAAACAGAATATGGGAGATATCCAAATCTGCGGACAATACCCCCAAAGCACAAGATTATACAACCAGATTAGTGGATGAGAATGAACAGCTTAAACGAGAAATAAATACAGTAAGAACTAATCAAATGAATAGGATTAACAAAATAACTCAACAAAAAAGCCATATTACAGACCTGCTTTGTCAAAATTTTGCATTATCCTTATTAAGATATAGAGATAGATTGGAGCTTATAAATACCAGAGAGGCTTTGCAAAATGCAGAAGCACAGAACTTTAACGAAAATGAATCCAACTCTGATGAGTATTTTTTAGATATTTATAATTTTGATCAAAATTTAAATATGGATACAATAGCTGAATTAGCCGATGCTATAGACCGCTTCCTAGATGATACAACAATATGTTCAACTATTTTAAAAAATCAAATTAAGAGGGCAACAAGATCAATTTGACGAAAATATGCTAACCTGCAACAGGATTTAGTAAACGAACGATGGAATCGTGATATATACAGGCAGGAGCGTGATCAAGCGATGCAGGAGCGTGATCAGTTGCGGACTAATGCTCAGAATCAAGTAAACAGAATGTTAGACAATATAACAGGAAAGTGAACCCGTATTTGTGTATTACTACAGGAAAAATTTGCCTTATAAATCTTATATTAACGAAATGCCCACCACCTACAACGATGCAGAGCCGATAGAGGTTTGTTAGAATATAATAGAGACAGACTCTATGAGCGATATGAGAAATGGAAAAATAAAACTCATGCAGAGCGCCAGAATATTTTAATTTTAAATAAACAATTTTTTGTGCTACAGAATAACCTACTTAATATACAACAAATAGGAATGGCAGGGTATGCACCCAAAAGATTCTCAGGTAGAGCAGATGAAGATATAGATAAATTCATAAAAGATTACAGACTTTATCTTACGGTAGCCAATATTAATACTGCTAATGCGGCCGGCAAACAGAGAGCTTTAGAACTATTTCGGTCATGCTTGACAGGTGAGGCATCACGTTAGGTCGAAGACAAACTCATAGGTAAAAAATGGCGATTGAATCATGTAAGATGTGGGAATGCTTTAGCAAATATGGCCGCTGTAGTGGCCCTAAATAATGCTAACATAACGGCCGCCATGATCAATGCACCAGATGGTACTCTACCACCAGCATTACCGAGTGGAGCTACTGGCACCACAGTTATTTCAGCATATAATGTTCATATAGATGAGGATTGGTCTCTTGCTAGGGGTGTCCTGTAGATGCTGATACAGCAACTAATGCACCAAATGGAGTTTTAAATAATAATAACCATATAGTCCTCCCTGATATCAATATTAGTCAGGTCATCTATTGGTTTAAAAGAAATTATCCTACAGTTGTTCGAGAGCAACAACAAAT